TATGATTATATGGTTATATGATTATTTGGTTATGATTATTTGGTTATATGATTATTTGGTTTATGATTATATGGTTATATTATTATTTGGTTATGATTATTTGGTTATGATTATTTGACTATATGATTATTTAGTTTATGATTATATGGTTATATGATTATTTGGTTATGATTATATGATTATGATTATTTGGTTTATTTTTATACTGAAACACATTAATATCAAATGATATTTACAGAGGCAGTTTCTTTCTTTTCTTTTTTTATCATGTGTCGGACTGTCACTCGTGTCAAGGTCGAGTGTCACTCTGATAGGTCGAGTGTCACGGTCGAGTGTCACGGTCGAGTGTCACGGTCGAGTGTCACGGTCGAGTGTCACTCTGATAGGTCGAGTGTCACGGTCGAGTGTCAAGGTCGAGTGTCACGGTCGAGTGTCACGGTCGAGTGTCACGGTCGAGTGTCACGGTCGAGTGTCACGGTCGAGTGTCACGGTCGAGTGTCCGGTCGAGTGTCACGTCGAGTGTCACGGTCGAGTGTAACTCTGATAGGCCGAGGTCCAGTCCCCATATCAATTTTGATAATGACTTTTTTTTAATGAATTAATGCATTTAGGCGCATACCGGAGTTAAGTTTTTAATTCTTTCACTTGACAGGAGAGCAACAGAAGAGATGCCATTGGAACATGACAACAGAAGAGATGCCATTGGAACATGACAACAGAAGAGATGCTATTTGAACATGACAACAGAAGAGATGCCATTGCAACATGACAACAGAAGAGATGCCATTGGAACATGACAACAGAAGAGATGCCATTGGAACATGACAACAGAAGAGATGCCATTGCAACATGACAACAGAAGAGATGCCATTGGAACATGACAACAGAAGAGATGCCATTGGAACATGACAACAGAAGAGATGCCATTGGAACATGACAACAGAAGAGATGCCATTGGAACATGACAACAGAAGAGATGCTATTTGAACATGACAACAGAAGAGATGCTATTTGAACATGACAACAGAAGAGATGCTATTTGAACATGACAACAGAAGAGATGCTATTTGAACATGACAACAGAAGAGATGCTATTTGAACATGACAACAGAAGAGATGCTATTTGAACATGACAACAGAAGAGATGCCATTGGAGCATGACAACAGAAGAGATGCTATTTGAACATGACAACAGAAGAGATGCCATTGGAACATGACAACAGAAGAGATGCTATTTGAACATGACAACAGAAGAGATGCTATTTGAACATGACAACAGAAGAGATGCCATTGGAACATGACAACAGAAGAGATGCTATTTGAACATGACAACAGAAGAGATGCCATTGGAACATGACAACAGAAGAGATGCCATTGGAACATGACAACAGAAGAGATGCCATTGGAATATGACAACAGGACAGATGCTATTGGAATATGAAAGTCCCTCGACTGAATGTGATAACACAAATCAGTATATCTAGTTTGGACCAAATCGTAATGATGTCATTATTTTGGCCTTAAAAAAATTAATGTGTTCCAACTATTCAGTCCGGAAAAAAAATCATGTCATTGTCATTCCGCCATCTTCTCAGAAACACCGGCTGATTATGCGCGTTCTGTCTCAGCGTTAATATGCGCTTCAAAATACACCTTTTCTTACTGTCACCTTCACATATTTTAAAGGTTGTCCAAGCAAGCCGTCCTCAACAATGTGGTGACATTTGGTGCCTCGTTTGGTGTGACATTTGGTGCCATCTTGATGTGTCATTTGGTATGTCTTATGGTACCTTATATCATGTCATTTGACGTTTGGTGTGTCATTTGGTACCTCAATTGACGTGTCATTGATGCCAAATTTAGTACTTCATTGTATGTGTCATGTGGTACCTCATTTAGTAAACAATTTGATGTGTCATTTGGTGTTTGATTTAGTATGTCATTTGGTTTGTTATTTAGTGTCATATTTGGTATCTTATTTAGTATCTTATTTAGTGTATCATTTAAAGCCACATTTGTTGTCTTATTTGATGAAATATTTTATGTATTATAATGATGGCGTATTTTTGGATACATTATTTGTTGATTTGCTTCCTCTTTGCCAACTCTTTGTCACCTCTTTGCCACCTCTTTGTCACCTTTTGCCATCTCTTTACTACATCTTTGCAACTTCATAGCCATCTCTTTACCACCTCTTTACCATCTCTTTACCACCTCTTTACCACCTCTTTGCCTTATTTGCCCTCTTTCCACTTTCTTTGTCACCTTTTTGCCACCTCTTTACCACATCTTTACCCCTTTTGCCCCCTCTTTACCCTTTTTGCCACCTCTTTACCACCTCTTTGCCACCTCTTTGCCACCTTTTTGCAACCTCTTTACCATCTCTTTTCCACCTCTTTACCATCTCTTTGCCATGTCTTTACCACCTCTTTGCCCTCTTTGCGACCTCTTTCCCCTCTTTGCCACCTCTTTATCACCTTTTTACCATCTCTTTGCCACCTCTTTACCATCTATTTGCCATGTCTTTACCACCTCTTTGCCCTCTTTGCCACCTCTTTACCATCTCTTTGCCATGTCTTTACCACCTCTTTCCCCTCTTTGCCACCTCTTTATCACCTTTTTACCATCTCTTTGCCACCTATTTACCATCTCTTTGCCTTGTCTTTACCACCTCTTTGCCCTCTTTGCCACCTCTTTACCATCTCTTTGCCACCTCTTTACCATCTCTTTGCCATGTCTTTACCACCTCTTTGCCCTCTTTGCCACCTCTTTCCCACCTTTTTATCACCTTTTTGCAACCTCTTTACCACCTCTTTACCATCTCTTTACCACCTCTTTACCCTCTTTGCCACTTCTTTGCCCTCTTTGCTACCTTTTTGCCACCTCTTTACTACCTCTTCACTACCTCTTTGCATTCTCTTCACCACCTCTTCACCACCTCTTCACCACCTCTTTGCCACCTCTTTACCACATTTTTGACACCTCTTTACTATCTCTTTACTACCTCTTTGACATCTCTTTACTACCTCTTTAGCACCTCTTTGCCACCTCTTTGTCACCTTTTTGCGACCTCTTTGTCACCTTTTGCCATCTCTTTACTACCTCTTTGCCATCTCTTTACTACCTCTTTGCCATCTCTGTACCAACTCTTTGCCACCTCTTTGCCACCTTTTTGCCATATCTTTATCACCTTTTTGTCACCTCTTTACTACCTCTTTACCAACTCTTTGCCACCTCTTTACCACATCTTTGCCACCTCCTTACCACCTCTTTGCCACCTCTTTATCACCTTTTTACCATCTCTTTGCCACCTCTTTACCATCTCTTTGCCATGTCTTTACCACCTCTTTGCCCTCTTTGCGACCTCTTTCCCCTCTTTGCCACCTCTTTATCACCTTTTTACCATCTCTTTGCCTCCTCTTTACCATCTCTTTGCCATGTCTTTACCACCTCTTTGCCCTCTTTGCCACCTCTTTACCATCTCTTTGCCATGTCTTTACCACCTCTTTGCCATCTTTGCCACCTCTTTATCACCTTTTTACCATCTCTTTGCCACCTCTTTACCATCTCTTTGCCATGTCTTTACCACCTCTTTGCCCTCTTTGCCACCTCTTTACCATCTCTTTGCCACCTCTTTACCATCTCTTTGCCATGTCTTTACCACCTCTTTGCCCTCTTTGCCACCTCTTTCCCACCTTTTTATCACCTTTTTGCAACCTCTTTACCACCTCTTTACCATCTCTTTACCACCTCTTTACCCTCTTTGCCACTTCTTTGCCCTCTTTGCTACCTTTTTGCCACCTCTTTACTACCTCTTCACTACCTCTTTGCAATCTCTTCACCACCTCTTCACCACCTCTTTGCCACCTCTTTACCACATTTTTGACACCTCTTTACTACCTCTTCACTACCTCTTTGACATCTCTTTACTACCTCTTTAGCACCTCTTTGCCACCTCTTTGTCACCTTTTTGCAACCTCTTTGTCACCTTTTGCCATCTCTTTACTACCTCTTTGCCATCTCTTTACTACCTCTTTGCCATCTCTGTACCACCTCTTTGCCACCTCTTTGCCACCTTTTTGCCATATCTTTATCACCTTTTTGTCACCTCTTTACTACCTCTTTACCAACTCTTTGCCACCTCTTTACCACATCTTTGCCACCTCCTTACCACCTTTTTGCCAACTCTTTACCAACTCTTTGCCACCTCTTTACCACATCTTTGCCACCTCCTTACCACCTTTTGGCCACCTCTTTACTACCTCCTTACTACCTCTTTACCACCTCTTTGGCCTATTTGCCATCTCTTTGTCACCTTTTTGCCACCTTTTTGTCACCTCTTAACTACATTTTTGCCACCTCTTTACCACCCTTTTGCCACCTCTTTACCACCTTTTTACCACCTCTTTGCCATCTTGTTACCACCTCTTTGCCATCTCTTTGCCCTCTTTGCCACCTTTTTGCCACCTCTTTGCCATCTCTTTACCACCTCTTTGCCACCTCTTTACTACCTCTTTGCCCTCTTTGACACCTCTTTACAACTTTTTGCCATCTCTTTACTACCTCTTTGCCATCTCTGTACCACCTCTTTGCCACCTTTTTACCACCTTTTTGCCTCCTCTTTACCACTTCTTTACCACCTCTTTACCACCTCTTTACCACCTTTTTGCCACTTCTTTACCACCTCTTTATCACCTCTTTATCATATTTTGCCACCTCCTTATTACCTCTTTGCCATGACTTTACCACCTCTTTGCCCTGTTTGCTACCTCTTTGTCCTCTTTGCCACCTCTTTATCACCTTCTTTGTCACCTTTTTGCCACCTCTTTACTACCTCCTTACTACCTCTTTACCACCTCTTTGTCCTATTTGCCATCTCTTTGTCACCTTTTTGCCACCTTTTTGTCACCTCTTAACTACATTTTTGCCACCTCTTTACCACCCTTTTGCCACCTCTTTACCACCTTTTTACCACCTCTTTGCCATCTTGTTACACCTCTTTGCCATCTCTTTACCCTCTTTGCCACCTCTTTGCCATCTCTTTACCACCTCTTTGCCACCTCTTTACTACCTCTTTGCCCTCTTTGACTCCTCTTTACCACTTCTTTGCCACCTCTTTACTACCTCTTTGCCATTTCTGTACCACCTCTTTGCCACCTTTTTACCACCTTTTTGCCACCTCTTTACCAATTCTTTACCACCTCTTTACCACCTTTTTGCCACTTCTTTACCACCTCTTTATCACCTCTTTACCACCTCTTTATCATATTTTTTCCACCTCCTTATTACCTCTTTGCCATCCCTTTACAACCTCTTTGCTCTGTTTGCTACCCCTTTGTCCTCTTTGCCACCTCTTTATCACCTTCTTTGTCACCTTTTTGCCACCTCTTTACTACCTCTTTACCACCTCTTTGCCCTCTTTGCCAACTCTTTGCCATCTCTTTACAACCTCTTTGCCATCTCTTTACCACCTCTTTGCCATATCTTTACCGCCTCTTTGCCACCTCTTTGCCATCTCTTTACCACCTCTTTACCACCTCTTTGCCATCTCTTTACCGCCACTTTGCCACCTCTTTGCCATCTCTTTACCACCTCTTTGCCATCTCTTTACCGCCTCTTTGCCACCTCTTTGCCATCTTTTTACCACATCTTTGCCATCTCTTTACCACCTCTTTGCCACCTCTTTACTACTTTTTTGCCACCTCTTTACTACTTTTTTGCCACCTCTTTACTACCTCTTTGCCATCACTTTACTATCTCTTTGCCATCTCTGTACTACCTTTTTGCCACCTCTTTACCACCTCTTTATCACCAATTTAACACCTCTTTATCACCTCTTTACCACCTCTTTATCATCTTTTTGCCATCTCTTTACCACCTTTTTGCCACCTCTTTACTTCCTCTTTGCCATCTCTTTACCACCTCTTTGCCACCTATTTGCTACCTCTTTGCCACCTCTTTACTACTTTTTTGCCACCTCTTTACTACTTTTTTGCCACCTCTTTGCTATCTCTTTGCCATCTCTTTACTATCTCTTTGCCATCTCTGTACCACCTCTTTGCCATCTCTTTACCACCTCTTTGCCATCTCTTTACCGCCTCTTTGCCACCTCTTTGCCATCTCTTTACCACCTCTTTGCCATCTTTTTACCGCCTCTTTGCCACCTCTTTGCAATCTATTTACCACCTCTTTGCCATCTCTTTACCGCCTCTTTGCCACCTCTTTGCCATCTCTTTACCACCTCTTTGCCATCTCTGTACCACCTCTTTGCCATCTCTGTACCACCTCTTTGCCATCTCTTTACCACCTCTTTGCTATCTCTTTACCGCCTCTTTGCCACCTCTTTGCCATATCTTTATCACCTTTTTGTCACCTCTTTACTACCTCTTTACAACTTTTTGCCACCTCTTTACTACCTCTTTGCCATCTCTTTACTACCTCTTTGCCATCTCTGTACCACCTCTTTGCCACCTTTTTACCACCTTTTTGCCTCCTCTTTACCACTTCTTTACCACCTTTTTGCCACTTCTTTACCACCTCTTTATCACCTCTTTATGATATTTTGCCACCTCCTTATTACCTCTTTGCCATCCCTTTACCACCTCTTTGCCCTGTTTGCTACCTCTTTGTCCTCTTTGCCACCTCTTTATCACCTTCTTTGTCACCTTTTAGCCACCTCTTTACTACCTCCTTACTATCTCTTTACCATCTCTTTGTCCTATTTGCCATCTCTTTGTCACCTTTTTGCCACCTTTTTGTCACCTCTTAACTACATTTTTGCCACCTCTTTACCACCCTTTTGCCACCTCTTTACGACCTTTTTACCACCTCTTTGCCATCTTGTTACCACCTCTTTGCCATCTCTTTACCCTCTTTGCCACCTCTTTGCCACCTCTTTGCCACCTCTTTGCCATCTCTTTGCCACCTCTTTGCCACCTCTTTGCCATCTCTTTGCCACCTCTTTGCCACCTCTTTACTACCTCTTTGCCCTCTTTGACTCCTCTTTACCACTTCTTTGCCACCTCTTTACTACCTCTTTGCCATCTCTGTACCACCTCTTTGCCACCTTTTTACCACCTTTTTGCCACCTCTTTACCAATTCTTTACCACCTCTTTACCACCTTTTTGCCACTTCTTTACCACCTCTTTATCACCTCTTTACCACCTCTTTATCATATTTTTGCCACCTCCTTATTACCTCTTTGCCATCCCTTTACCACCTCTTTGCTCTGTTTGCTACCCCTTTGTCCTCTTTGCCACCTCTTTATCACCTTCTTTGTCACCTTTTTGCCACCTCTTTACTACCTCTTTACTACCTCTTTACCACCTCTTTGCCCTCTTTGCCAACTCTTTGCCAACTCTTTGCCATCTCTTTACCACCTCTTTGCCATCTCTTTACCACCTCTTTGCCATCTCTTTACCGCCTCTTTGCCACCTCTTTTCCACCTCTTTACCACCTCTTTGCCGCCTCTTTGCCACCTCTTTGCCATCTCTTTACCACCTCTTTGCCATCTCTTTACCGCCTCTTTGCCACCTCTTTGCCATCTTTTTACCACCTCTTTGCCATCTCTTTACCACCTCTTTGCCACCTCTTTGCTACCTCTTTGCCACCTCTTTACTACTTTTTTGCCACCTCTTTACTACTTTTTTGCCACCTCTTTACTACCTCTTTGCCATCTCTTTACTATCTCTTTGCCATCTCAGTACCACCTCTTTGCCACCCATTTACCACCTTTTTGCCACCTCTTTACCACGT